GACAATGAACACACGACGATCCAAAATCTATGGGAGGCCAAAAGCAGTTCTAAGAGGGAAGCTTATAGCAATTCAAGCTCACCTCAAGAAACAAGAAAAATCTCAAATAAACAATCTAACCTTACATCTAAAGCAACTAGAAAAAGAAGAAAAAAGAAAACCCAAAGTTAGTAGAAGGAAAGAAATCATAAAGATCAGAGCAGAAATAAATGAAATAGAAACGAAGAAAACAATAGCAAAGATCAATGAAACTAAAAGTTGGTTCTTTGAGAAGATAAACAAAATTGATAAACCTTTAGCCAGACTCATCAAGAAAAAAAAGGGAGAGGACTCAAATCAATAAAATTAGAAATGAGAAAGGAGAGATTACAACTGACACCGCAGAAATACAAAGGATCATAAGAGACTACTATAAGCAACTCTATGCCAATAAAATGGACAACCTGGAAGAAATGGACAAATTCTTGGAAGGTACAACTTTCCAAGACTGAACCAGGAAGAATTAGAAAATATAAACAGACCAATGAACAGGTAATGAAATTGAAACTGTAATTAAAAATCTTCCAACAAACAAAAGCCCAGGATCAGATGGCTTCACAGGTGAATTCTATCAAACATTTAGAGAAGAGCTAACACCTATGCTTCTCAATCTCTTCCAAAAAACTGCAGAGGAAGGAACAGTCCCAAACTCATTCTACAAGGGCACCATCACCCTGATACCAAAGCCAGGCAAAGATACTACAAAAAAGAAAACTACAGACCAATATCACTGATGAACATAGATGCAAGAATCCTCAACAAAGTACTAACAAACAGAATGCAACAACACATTAAAAGGATCATACACCATGATCAAGTGGGATTTATCCCAGGGATGCAAGGATTCTTCAATATACACAAATCAATCACAGCATATAACAAACTGAAGAATAAAAACCATATGATCATCTCCATGGATGCAAAAAAAGCTTTTGAAAAAATTCAACACCCATTTATGATTAAAAACTCTCCAGAAAATGGGCACAGAGGGAACCTACCTCAACATAATAAAGGCCATATACAACAAACCCACAGCAAACATCATTGTCAATGGTGAAAAACTGAAAGCATTTCTTCTAAGATCAGGAACAAGACAAGGATGTCCACTCTCACTACTATTATTCAAGATGGTACTGGAAATCCTAGCCATGGCAATCAGAGAAGAAAAAGAAATAAAAGGAATACAAATTGGAAAAGAATTAGTAAAACTGTCACTGTTTGCAGATGACATGATACTATACATAGAGAATCCTAAAGATGCCACCAGAAAACTACTAGAACAATCAATGAATCTCGTAAGGTTGCAGGATACAAAATTAATGTACAGAAATCTCTTGCATTCCTATACACTAACAATGAAATATGACTAAGAGAAATTAAGGAAACAATCCCATTTATCATCACAACAAAAAGAATGAAATACCTAAGAATAAACTTACCTAAGGAGGCAAAAGACCTGTACTCAGAAAACTATAAAACGATGAAAGAAATCAAAGATGACACAAATAGATGGAGAGATATACCATGCCCCTAGATTGGAAGAACTGAGACTGTGAAAATGACTATACTACCCAAAGCAGTCTACAGGTTCAATGCAATCCCTATCAAATTACCAATGGCATTTTTCACAGAATCAGAACAAAAAATTATACACTTTGTGTGGCAACACAAAAGACCCCGAACAGCCAAAGCAATCTTGAGAAAGAAAAACAGAGCTGGAGGAATCAAGCTCCCCAACTTCAGACTATACTACAAAGCTACAGTAATCCAGACAGTATGGTACTGGCACAAAAACAGAAATATAGATCAATGGTACAGGACAGACGGCCCAGAGATAAACCCACGCACCTATGGTCACCTAATCTATGACAAAGGAATATACAATGGAGACAAGACAGCCTCTTCAATAAATGATACTGGGAAAACTGGACAACTACATGTAAAAGAATGAAATTAGAACACTCCCTAACACCATACACAAAAATAAACTCAAAATGGATTAAAGACCTAAATGTAAGACTGGACACTATGAAACTCTTAGAGGAAAACATAGGAAAAACACTCTTTGACATAAATCACAGCAAGATCTTTTATGACCCACCTCCTAGAGTACTGAAAATAAAAACAAAAATAAGCAAATGGGACCTAATTAAACTTAAAAGCTTTTGCACAGCAAAGGAAACCATAAACAAGATGAAAAGACAACCCATGGAATGGGAGAAAATATCTGCAAATGAAGCAACAGATAAAGGATTAATCTCCAAAATATACAAACAGCTCATGCAGCTCAATATCAAAGAACCCAATCAAAAAATGGGTGGAAGATCTAAATAGACATTTCAGCAAAGAAGACATACAGATGGTCAAGAGGCAAATGAAAAGATGCTCAACATCCCTAATTATTAGAGAAATGCAAATCAAAATTACAATGAGGTATCACCTCACACCGGTCAGAATGACCATCATCAAAAAATATACATGCAACAAATGCTGGAGAGGGTGTGGAGAAAAGGGAACCCTCTTGCACTGTTGGGAATGTAAATTGATACAGCCACTGTGGAGAACAGTATGGAGGTTCCTTAAGAAACTAAAAATAGAACTAGCATATGACCTAGCAATCCCACTACTGAGAAACTGTAATTCAAAAAGACACATGTAGGGGCTTCCCTGGTGGCGCGGTGGTTGGGAGTCCACCTGCCGATGTGGGGGACAAGGGTTCGTGTCCCGGTCCGGGAAGATCCCAGCCGTGGTGCGGCTGGGCCTGTGAGCCATAGCCAATAAGCCTGCACATCCGGAGCCTGTGCTCCACAATGGGAGAGGCCACAACAGTGAGAGGCCCGCGTACCACAAAAAAAAAAAAAAAAAAAAAAAAAAAGACACATGTCCCGCCATGTTCACTGCAGCACTATTTACAACAGCCAGGACATGGAAACAACCTAAGTGTCCATCGACAGATGAATGGATAAAGATGTGGTACATGTATACAATGGAATATTACTCAGCCAATAAAAAGAATGAAATTGGGTCATTTGTAGAGATGTGGATGGGCCTAGTGTCTGTCATACAGAGTGAAGTTAAGTCAGAAAGAGAAAAACAAATACCGTATATTAATGCATATATGTGGAATCTAGAAAAATGGTACAGATGAGCCTAGTTGCAGGGCAGGAATAGAAAGGGAGATGTAGAGAATGGATGTGTGAACATATGGGGGGAAAGAGATGGTGGGACGAATTGGGAGATTAGGTTTGACAATAAATACACGACCATGTGTAAAATAGCTAGCTAGTGGGAACCTGCTGTAAGGCACTGGGAGCTCAGACCGGTGCTCTGTGATGGCCTAGTGCGGTGGGATGGCTGGAGGGAGGAGGTCCAAGAGGCAGGGGATGTGTGTATGCGTATGGCTGATTCACTTGGCTGTGCAGCAGAAACTAACACAACATTGTAAAGCAATCATACTCCAATTAAAAATAAAAAAAAAAAAGAAAGAAAGAAAGAAAAGGGGAGAACCACCAATGAAGCTAAAAATTTCATCAAGTTGAGGAAGTCCAAAATGTAAAACGAGTTGAGGTTCCTGAGAAAAGCCAACTACAATGAAAAGGGATTCTTTGGAGCAGAAAGAAGAATAACAGCCTGCTACACACGTTCCATTATTAAGAGATAGGGAGATGCAGACTCATTCAATGCCAACTTTTTTGTCCTTTCTATTAGAAAGAAAACTCTCTATTCCAGAAAGATGAACACGAGTGAGTCTAAGAAGAAACTGAAGACCGAGACCTTTGAGGAAACAAGGGAGGGTGCCTAGATGCTTTATGTCAGTTAAATTCTCCAAACACATAATTGTATTGCACAACAGTGCTTTCCAACCTCCTTCACATCATGGCACACAGAGAAAATACTAATATACGTCTGGCTCACTGCGGTACTCTGTGGTAATACCAGCCTTTTTGGAAGCCCCCTGGCTGGCTGGCTTGGGGGCTCTGACTGCAAGGGCCAAAGGAATCCATTTCTTGTTCTGCCTGTAACAGTTCCCGTTGCCCCAGTATTTGGATACTACAAGAATTGGAAAGCTGACCTAGAATCCTAAAATAAAGGTAGATATGGTTACAGAATGCATTAATAATCTTTGAGGAAGAGATGCTGGTGAGTTTGACATAAAGCGCTAACTAAATTCTAGAAAAGATGTGGTAAACACCAGTCACTAGCACGTGTTCACATGTTCATCAAGAATACACAAGCCTAACTGTCCTTGTAGTGGGTTGAATCGTGGTCTCCAAAAAGAAATGTCCATGCACTAATCCCCGGGAATCTGCAAATGTGACCTTGTTTGGAAAAAGCATCTTTGGAGTGTAATTAAGTTAAGGATCTCACGATAAGATCCATCCTAGATTTAGGGTGGCCCTAAATCCAATGATGGGTGTCCTTCTAAGAGAAAGGCAGGAGAGTTGAGACTCAGACACCAGGAAGAAGTCCATGTGAAGAGAGAGGAAGAGCCCAGAGCTCTGCAGCCGCCAGAAGCTGGAAGAAGCAAGGAAGGACACTCCCCCTGCAGAGGGAGCGTGGCCCAGCCAACAACATGATTTGGACTTCTGGCCTCCAAAACTGTGAAAGAATACATTTCTGTACAGCAGCCCCAGGAAACTAAGACAATCCTCTTTCTTTTTATGACAGACAAAAGTGTACAGGACATGAGGAAAGCAACAGATATGTAACGTCTGGATTTGTGCAATGAATTGGACAAAAACTTGTGAAAAAAGTTTGGATAAGCACCCATGCTTCTCTCATAGACTGAATTCTGAGTCAGACTTACAAATTCAGCCTGAGATTGCTGCTCAGCAAAGTCACACTGCTTTCCATCAGAACGTAAGTTCCTTGAGAGAAAGCAGTTTTTGCCTTTTGTTCCCAGGGCCTAGAACAGTGGCAGGACAACATCAGGGTTTTCACCACAAAAGCCAGTTCATTACCTTTGTGTTCTCGTCTTGATCGGGCTTCTGTTTTCTTTTTCTACTTCTGCTGTGAAATTCCACCACTTCTACTGGTTCCCTGTCGTTCCTCAGGGGAGAGGGGGCTACTACAGAACTAGAAACTACAGGTCCTGAAGGGAAGCCACCAGGGGTCACGGCGGGAACACCCTGCAGCTCTTCCTGGAGTTCCTGGAAGAAGCTGGAAGCACTCTTCCTCTGGCCTCTGACAAGAGATCCAGGTTGGAGATCTGGTTCTGCAACCAAGGCTGCTGGGGTAGCCATATCTCTTTTCTTCTCTCTTTTCTTTCTGATCCTTTTCTGCTCTGCTTCATCTTCTGTCTCTCCTGTTTGTTCAAACACAAAAGGAAAAATAAACATTTTGTGTTTTAGCTATCACCAATACCAAATCACGCGAATGCACGTGTACATGTGTCACAGCTATAAACACGCAGAAGTGCACACAAAGACAAAAACTATTTTTCTTCCAAGAGGGTCGTATTTGCACAATTTATAGAATCCAAAGTGCACAGTCATCTTTTCCCAGGTAACTATATTTACGTGTTTGACTCTTACTAGCACAATTACTTTAGTCCTCACCTTGGTCCTGACTGCAAGTGTCATCATCACAATACCCCAGAAATTGGTAATCCCCGTTGGCTCACACTTTGTAATAAAAACGTTAGTACATCTGCCACTGCAGCGTTTCTTTTTTTTTTTTTTTTTTGCGGTACGCGGGCCTTGC